GTTACCATGATGGTGTTTAGTGTTTGTGTGAATGACACTGTGCACCTTCTATATATGTTAATATTTAAAAGCTGCTTGTGATAGGCTTTGGTTCATCATGTGACTTTCTCATTACCACCTGCTTTTGGTGCAGTGTTTACAAAGGTACAAAACAGATTTTAGTACTTCAGTGGGTTGGTATACTAACATTATATCAGTTAATGAAATTACAGTATTTAACTGTAAATTTAAATTAAAACCGTAAAACCTAAAACCCTGCTACCGTATTTTTTACGGTAAAATTCCGGCAACCACAGCTGCCGGTTTTTTACTGTGAATTTCAGTTAATGAAATTACAGTATTTAACTGTAAATTTAAATTAAAACCGTAAAACCTAAAACCCTGCTACCGTATTTTTTACGGTAAAATTCTGGAAACCACAGCTGCTGGTTTTTTACCATAAATTTTACGGATTTTTTTTTTTTTTACAGTGTAACATAAATGCCATTAAATTACTATTTGATCACCACCATTATAATTTTAAACTCATTTGAGTTTAAACAGTGCATTCAGACATATTCTTTCATTATTTCCCCAGAACCAACATGAACAAATTCAATTTCCACCATTTGTGGAATAAAATGGCCGGCTCCTGTGTTTTACAAAGTCTAACTGTGTACCTAACATGTTACATATCCTAAATACACACAATTAAATCATATTTTCATGCTTTTTGAATACTTTGACTAAATTACAGCATGACTGCAATGACGCACAATAAATATTTGTTCATTAATGTTTTTCTTTGCACATCGCATGTCTAATATTTCGTTTCAAGCATGCTTTTCACTGACACGGTTTTCTCATTGGTGAACAAGTACACTAACTTTTGGGTATGGTAAAAATTTCTTTCAAAATTGATTCAATTAATTTTCATACAATAAATACTGAAATTCTGTATTTAATACAAAAAAAAAGAAAATATTTTATAATAGATTATTGTACTTTGAGATAGAAAGTATTGGTCTAGAGGGCAAAAAGATAAAATATATATAATAGCGCATTTGAAGAGATAAAATAAGTAATGAAAATTTTCCAAGGACTTGGAATGCGACCTTGTTATTTAGGAAGAAAAGAAAAGTTAAAATCTGTTCGTTTTAATAAAAATCAACCCCTGGAACACAAAACTTCCTGTAGCCTCAGAAACATTCACCAGCTGTCAGAAGTACACATTTCATGACATTGTGATAATGTTAATGAAAGTCAGTCCATTCTGCTTGAATCCTGTGACAGCTGCCACACTGCACAGTCTCTCAGTCGTTTCTTTTCAGCCTGAAGTGCAGCGATTGTAGGTTTATTCAACCTGCCTGGCCGTGTATGTCCCCCAGGGCAAAACCCATGCAAGTGCAGCCTCCCCTGCTGGCTCCATTTCCACATTTGCCTAAGCTGTGAGCACCACAGAGTCACCACATGTTCTCCTATGTGAGCGAACTTATTAATTATTAAATCAGCAATCCCGTAGGAAACAGATGGCACAGATAGCGGGCAGCTAACGCACGTCTCCCTGGCATTTTGTGTGTGTGTGTGTGTGATACTGTAGATAAGTGGGTGGTTTTAGACTACCTAGGATCTGTCACATGTTTTAGCGGTACCTTGTGCCAGTTGGCTCAAATGCTGAATTGTGTGTATCGCATAAATATCACTATAGAGGATAATTGCAGTTGTTTTTTAATTGTTTTAAAATCCAAATAAAAGTGTGCTTTTTGTTTGTTCTTTCTGCTACACTGTGTTTACAATAACAGGAGCTGAAGTGCTAAAAAGCCATCATCACCCCACGTTTAACTAGCGTTTGTTATCAATAAACACTACTGTGTTTATTTGAATGCATCCTCAATTTGGATCAAGAGACTTGAATGAATACATCATGCTGTGCTACTATAATGAATGGTGTTGCTAAAAACAAACTTTAACACAAACAAGCCTCATCTATTAAAACTCTGCATCACAGAGAACCTGTCAAGTCAGATTCATTCAGATTGTTTTCTCAAAATGTAACTTTCAGCTACAGTATTTGCATTGGGCAGAAAATTGATTTAAAGATTAATTGAAGGCACATTTCACTCAAGAATGAAAATTCTCAAGTTGTTCAAAACCTGTTTGAGTTTCTTTCTTCTGATGAACACAAAAAGTTGGTAGCCATAGTAATTGTTTTTCATACAATGGAAGTCAATGGCTACCAGCAGCTGTTTGTTTACCAACATTCTTCGGAATATCTTCTTTTGTGTTCAAAAGTACAAAGAAACTCATGCAGGTTTTGAACAAGGGTGTGTAAATGATGGCAGAATTTAAATTTTTCCTAACTATCTGTTTAATTATATAATATGCTGATTAAATAATCAAATGAAATGCAAATAATCACATAAATCAATATTTGATGACAAAAGCTTGCCAATAATGCAATATTGGGGCAGTAACTCACTGAATAGACATTTCGAAAAGTAGCTTAATAATTGTTTGTACTAAATTAACATGGTAAATTGACCCTGATAGTAACATTTTCACAGAATTTCCCAAAATAATTTTTATGTCACACATCCGCTCCTGGAATGCATAGTAATATACTTGGCTCTATGGTGCAGCTAATGCTGAACAACTGGCTTAATGTATTTTTTTCATGGTAAAGTGAGTTTTGTTAATTGCCAAGGAGATGTGTTCTGGGAAAGTCATATGTTTATTTTGTGAATAAATCTGGCTTGATAAGCTCTGCTGCTTGGCTGAGAGCAGACGCTCTTTCTCTCTGAGCTTTATTGCCTTCTGTTTCTGATTCTAATTTAATTTGAATGTGAATGGCATCTTCATCAGTGTTGACTCTGTATTAAATCTTTTTTTTCATCCCGCTAAAATATGGTTTTCGAATGGTGGCCGAGTGATGCCAAAGACTTCACAACAACACTTGCTGAGGGTGACCAGGCAACTGCTTGTGTCTTCACAGACCACAATAGACAGACACAATGACAGAAGAGCAGCACTGAAAAACCCTTGCCCCTGGGGGAAAAAAACATTTCCATTTACAATAACCTGAGTGATAATGTAAGAACAAACAGTTATTCAGTTCTTCTGACGGCCACATTTGAAATATTCTGCAGTGGGCACTTGCTCCACAGTGCTTCATTTGCTCTACAATGGCAAGTCCAAATGCCAAGCAGGCCACTGGGGACTCTGTCTTAGTACAGAGAAGCTTAAAGGTTTAAAGACACCTCCATACCTCTGAGTACCACTGTTATGCTTTTCAGCTAAGATACCAAAAACTTCATGACCCTGCATTTTTTTGTGTCTGTATTTGTGTGTCCCCATCTGAACGGAGTTCACTCTCAGAAAAGAAAGTGCAAAGCCGTCACTGGGTAGGTCCCAGTGCTAGCTTTGTACTTTTTTTTTTCTGAGAGTGAAACCTGTATTTTGTATTTTATTTTCGAAGTTACAAAAGCCAAAAGGTACATCTTTGATGTCAAATTTGAACCTATACTGTATGGTGCAAACTGTGTTTGAACCTACTTGCCTGGATCAAGAGTAGCTACTAACTACAGTACAACAACAATCCTCCAGCTGATCACATGTTAACAGCATGACCTGATTAAGTGGCTCTTTTTCTACTTTTAAAAACAATGACCATGAATTCCAACAGTGCTCTCAATAATGAGGGAAAACCCTTATCGCTAGCTAAAAAAAAGCATCTAGTGGTAATCACATGCTCCAGTAAGCCACTGGCTGTGGTGGAAGCCCTCCCTGCTGTCTAAATATAAATCTGAGCATTATCCTTGCTAGCCCATTCCTCCGTCCCACTGATTGGATGAGCGATTTCGCTTTTCGCCATCCCTGTGTGAACAAAGGCTTAGCACGGCTGGTTAAATTGCTTCCTTTGAGGGAAGATAAAAGTCCATACATTATTAATGCCCCCATGTTACTTCTGTTACACCAAAGGACAGCTAATGAATCTTGTAGACGTGTAGCGTCAATGTCTCTGTCTAACAGCCATCCTGTGTTTCACAGAGAAATTCACCTGCAAATTCACTCAAACAAGTGTTTTGGATGCTGCATGCTGACATAAATACAGTAATGTCAAAATAATACAATTAATTTGGATTTAGAAGGTGGGCTGAAAATATATTGCATTATTTAAAAAAGTATGTCTTTAAAAGTTAATTTTCAATAAATTATATATTTCTTCATTTGTAAGAAAATGTACATAAAGTTATACTTTAAAAAACTATACATACTGCATTTAAAAGACGCTATAATAAAATAGCAAGCTGTGAGTGCATTTACTATTTATATCCAATAATCTGACTAACTTTGGCAAGCAGCATCCAGCTCGAACACTTGAAACACATAAAAGAGCATAAAGATAAGCCGCAAATAAAAAGCAAACCGTGTCTATGAAGGTCAGATGACAGTCTTGCTAAAGATTCCAAGTGACAACTCTATTGTGCCGTCTTTGAAGTTTTTACAGTGAGCTACCTGAACCAAGAACTCCTGAAAACATGCCTAGTGTCCCTCATTCAATAACACTTCTGTAACCTTCACATTAGATTAGATTCACAAAGTCTAAATGCAGTAAAATGTGGAATAAAACTGATGCAGGGTGCAAAGAAAAGCTTATATTTTGCATGCTACTCTTATTTAATACAACAATTTTCATAAAAAAAAAACTATATTACGAGCTTTATAAGCTGTTTCTGCTACTAGAAGAACAAGAACAACTGTTCTTTTGTACAGAGAGGTTCATGTGGTCAGTGTCAAATTTGCATAGTGATTTAGAGACCTTCTTGTTCTGATTTTTTTTTTTCGAAATTCTTAAACTAAAAACCTTATTATAATAAACTTTAAAACCTAGACCTTTTGAGCTCACTGTATAAAACCGTTTATTGAACAATAATTATTAGAAAAAATATGATTTATGTGTCATTGTGAAATAACTGTATGAAAGTATTTTTTTATCATTTTAAAAAAGTGCAACCACGTACCTCCTCATTGAGGATTTCCTGACATTGGGAGTAGTTTCCCTTCTTCGCCCAGGTGCCATTGGCAAGACATTCTCTGTACACGTTATCTGAAGAAACACACACACACACACACACACACACACACACACTGGTTATTGACTGATCCCCTTATTTAATTTCTGAGTCAGATAAATAGTTTATATAATGTTTATTCTGAACATCTGTGGACAGATATGCCACTTCTTCATGCATGGTATGTAATCCATTACATAATTCAAAAGTTATGCAATATGACCCAAAACACTAGGAATATTAATAGGGCAACAGTCAATATTTGACCTCACGGTGCATGTAGGTTTGACCTTAGCATGGATTATCTAGTTAACCTTGACTATATGTTAAAATCTAGTCTCACATAAAACTGATTTATGACTGCAAACCCCCCATGCTGTGCAGCGAAGAGACGAGTGTAACCTAAAAGTGATAGAACAGAAAACGTCAAACATCTTTTACTCAATTTTGGTTTACAAGCATCTCCTGAAACTTGAAACATATGTGGTCAAATCCATCCTGGGTGCAGAATTGTATGAATAAAAAAGCGATTTCAGGTTTCATTTCTCATTTCCATTTCAGTGGTTTCCAATTTCATTGTGGGACATTTCCTCTACAAGGCTTATATTGTGCTTTGAACAGCCATTGTTAGATCTGGTTGAAAGTTTTCTTCTTCAAAATTCCATAAAATAGGTTGAAATCCAACAACATGAGAATCTGGGGCAAAGATATTTTCACTGAGCACTCAGAACTCTGCTGACAGAAATGTTGAAATACAGTAGAGCCATAAGCATTTTATCCAGCGACACTTATATTACTCTATATAACAATCCGAGTGTCTTCCTCTATAGTATTAAGGTTGGAAATGGGGTTAGTATTGCATTATGCTTCCGGGAGCTATCCTGTTAAAGACTAACAGATACCTCAACCAGACTAACTTAATCACTAATTTGAAACCCACACATTAATAACTGTCTGTTACCACTTCAGCCATTGGAGCAGCTAATTTCAGGTTTGATTTTCTTAATAAGCATTTTTATCTAAAAAAAAAACAAAAAAAAAAACATTAATTTATTTGAAAAAGTATTAAAAGGTATTATGACTTGTTCATCACAGTATATATCTTGAAATAAATTTAAATTTGTTTATAAATCTGCACATTTCTTTTGAAGTCAGTAATATATATATATATATATATATATATATATGTGTGTGTGTGTGTGTGTGTATGTGTATATATAATATTTTTATTCAGTAAGAATGACTTAAACTGATTAAAAATGATATTAAAGACATTTATAATGTTACAAAAGATTTCTATTTCTAATTTCTATGTTTCTTGAGCATCAAATCAGCATATTACAATGATTTCTTAAGAAATGGCTGCTGCATCACAGGAATAAATTACATTTTAAAATATAAGAGAAAATTACATTTAATAATCTATTTAATAATCGAAATAATAATATATTTTAAATTGTAATAATATTTTACAATATTACATTTTAACTGCAATTTTGATTAAATAAATGTAGCTTGGTATAATGCAGCATATTTATTTGAATTATTTCAGCATTTTCATTTCAATATTTCAAAAAACAAACAACCAACAACAACAAAAAAATCTAACCTTCCTCAATCAAAATTTTCCCTAAAGGACGCATAGATATTTTGCTGAATAACAAGACAATATATTTGAACATTTAGGCTTTACAGCTTTCCTTGGAATACTGTAACGATGCATCTAAATATTCCTTTCCTTTGAACTGACAGTACACAAAGGTTGCTCGTTAACTTTTAGCTAATATGAGAGTCCTCCACTGGTTGAAAAACAACATGTAAAAAAAAAAAACTTTGTCACAGAATCTTCTGCACTATATTTTAGTTTCCATGGGAACTGGTGCAACTGTTGCAACTTTGCCAATTTGTGCATGTATGTAGAGCAAAGATTCAACTCGAGGTGATGCTACAAGATGATTAGAGCCCTGATTGCCCTACGGGCCTGACATCAGTGCCCATCATAACAAGACGCAATTACTGGAGTGATATCAGCTAGAGCTTACCATCCATCATAGAGCTGTGACAGTAGAGGACAATGGTATTGAAAGGACATGGCTGTTTTTCTTAATCCATGCAAGCTAGAGGCACACTATACATCGAGGGAATGATAAACATACAGCAATAGTTGCACCAAAATGCCTTTTTTTTTGTCATTACACAATGTCAGAAGTTTGGTGAGAAGCAGAAGTCAGGAAGAAGTTGAGAGGAATCTATCTGTCAGTCCATCCATCCATTCATCCATCACGTGTGAACTGACTATCTATCTTATTAACATATTAATTAATCCAACTTTAGAAATATAAGTATGTAGTACTATCAAGGTTTCAACATGATGAGGTAATTATGATTTTTTTTTGAAGATGGTGGGGGTTGTTATGTCATATTTTGCACTAAAAGGCCATGTATTATTTCTTTTTCATCTGTTGTTTTCTCATGATCTCCAAAAAATAAAAAATAAAAATGCGCTCATCATTTCTCTGCTCAGCCCCGAACTACTTAGTCAACATCTGCCAAACATCATCCTATTGTCACAAATTCAGCCTCTGTGGCTCCCTCCGATCACCACCAGAGGGAACCATCACCGGAGTACTAATATCCCCTCGGACTCCAATTCCCACAATGCACCTTGCCAGAGACTAATCACCTGCACAGGTGTTCCCCATCTACCCGGTCTATTTATACTGTGCCGTCCCTGCTCTCCTTGCGAAGTCTTGTTTTGCCTAGCAGACATTTCTGAGCGTTTTCCCTGTTTTGATTCCCTGTTTATTACCTGGACTGATTTCCCGATTACGACTGCTTGCTGCTTACCTATTCTGACCCTGCCTGCCTTGTTGATTCTTGCCATTGTTTGTCTGCCGCCTGCCTCGACCCTTATAACGAACTCTGTTTACGATTCTGCCCAGCCTTCGTTGTGTCTGACACCTGTTGACAATTTATGCCTGTATGACCTGACTTGTGATCTAATAAAGCTGCACATGGATCCTAACGCCACTGCCTCTGTGTTACAGAAGACTTCGCCAGAAATCGATCCAGCAGCGTTCTATCACTTCACCACAGAGGTATCTGCTCAAGCATCGGTTCTGGTCACACACCAGCAACAATTAAACCGACTTACCTCGCTAACGGAAGAGATGGTAAAGACCTTGCAAGCCCTTCGTCTGCAAGCACCCGAAGCCCACGCCTCTCCTCCGAATCCACCGCTTCAAGCCCCGGTTTCACCTACCTCCACCGCCAGCCCTCGGTTGGCGTTTCCCAAGAAGTTTGATGGCTCACCCTGCAATTCCGGCCGTTAACTCATGGCTACAACGAAGCAAGGAGACGTGGAATGAGGCTCACGTTCATCTCCAGAGAGCAGTCCATCAAACAAGGGAACAAGCTAACCGCCATCGGCGCGCCAATCCCAACTATCAGCCTAGTCAGTGGGTCTGGTTGTCCACTCGGGATCTTCGTCTCCGGTTACCCTGCAAAAAGCTCAGTCCCAGGTACGAGGGTCCATTCAAAATTCTCAGACAAATAACTCCTGTTTCATTCCGTTTGGCTTTGCCTGCCCATTATCGTATCTCACCCACTTTTCATGTCTCTTTGCTCAAGCCCTCTGGTGGTCCGAGAGGAGCGGAGGACCAGGAGGAGGCTGGTGACCAGAGAGTCCCTCCCATCACCATAGACGGCGAGGAGGCGTGCCGAGTTCGGGAAATTCTGGACTCTCGTCACCGGGGCAGAATGATCCAGTACCTAGTGGACTGGGAGGGGTACGGTCCGGAGGAACAGTCTCAGCCTGGTCAGTGGGTCTGGTTGTCCACTCGGGATCTTCGTCTCTGGTTACCCTGCAAAAAACTCAGTCCTAGGTACGTGGGTCCCTTCAAAATTATCAGACAAATAACTCCTGTTTCATTCCGTTTGGCTTTACCTGCACATTATCGTATCTCACCCACTTTTCATGTCTCTTTGCTCAAGCCCGCTGGTGGTCCGAGAGGAGCGGAGGACCAGGAGGAGGCTGGTGACCAGAGAGTCCCTCCCATCACCATAGACGGCGAGGAGGCGTACCGAGTTCGGGAGATTCTGGACTCTCGTCACCGGGCAGAATTATCCAGTACCTAGTGGACTGGGAGGGGTACGGTCGGGAGGAACGGTCCTGGGTCAATGCAGAGGATATTCTGGATCCCTCGCTTACCACAGACTTTCACAGAGACCACCCGGATAGACCTGCCCCGAGACCCCGCGGAAGACCCCGGCGTCGTCCGCCTCTGCACGTCAGGAGCCGCTCACAGGGGGGGGGGGCTCTGTCACAAATTAAGCCTC